AATGTTACATAAAAGCTATAAAATGTTACTATAGACAATAAGTAACACAATATTGGCGCTGCAGTTGTTCGTGCTACCTAAAAGTCAAAGGTAATACTTTTGGTAGTTTTTAGTAACACTTATATGATACTTTTGCTAGTCTTTGGTAATACTTATATTAAAGTGTTACAATTGCTAGTCTTTGGTAATACTTATATTAAAGTGTTACAATAATATTAAAGTGTAGTAAGGGTAAATATGTACACTCACATGGGATGTGTGTACCATGTGGTAAATCACATGGTACATGTAGCATTATTCTATTAATTAAATGATCAACGAAATAATAACATACGGCCCGATGACCAATGAACCGAAAATATGTAATAAATAAATATACAAGCAGGTTCTCGAGACTGATCAAACCAGAAGCCGCCAGAAGTCATAAGCGGGCCCCACGATGGTTATCTCACATTAAATAGTTATGTATCATTATTACTTATTTTATTTGACCACTTGTAAGAAAAATGACCATGTATAAATATGTGTAAAGAAGAGAGAGAAAGGGGGTTTCTCCATTTTTTCTTGGGAAAATTTACCCATACTACACGATACAAAAGAATTTTCACATTTACCTTCATATAACAAGTAATAGGATAATTGCATAATCAACCTACTTTATTTACAAGATTGCCTAAATATCAGGTACTCCATGTAACGTCCTCTATCCATCTCTCTTCCGTGATTTCCGCCATTGTTACCCAAAAAAAAGGAAAAAAAAACACACGATGATGTGCTACATCTTCTTATTATTCAATAATCGATTCCAAAACTAGATGAGATTGGGTAAAATGGCACATTTGTGGCAGGGCACGCGCCTTCTGGGCCATCTTCTCCATCTCTTGAGTCCCATCTTTCGTGATTTCCGCAATCTCTCTTTCTTTTTTTTTTTTTAAATTCCGGATTAAATTGTGTGATTTTTGTTGTTTTTTTTCATTATTTCTGTATTTTTGTTTTTTTTTCATTATTACTGTTATCGAGAGGCACAAGTTTTCAGTTTTGTTTTGTCTTCTTGCGCTTGTAGTGTAATTGTGACATCTTGACGGGGATTGAATCTCGAGTGTATAACTTTGATATATTTTAGGTATATGTGGGTTCTGAAATCAATTTTGATGAATGATTGAAATTCGAGTGTATATTTAAAGTATATTTATGTGTATGTGTGTCCCGATCTTTCGCTGGCTTGAATACAAGGAACTTGAGTGTATATTTTATGTATATTTTATGTACATTTGTTGTTTTGGGACAAATCAGGACACACATATACATAAAATATACTTTAAATATACACTCGAGTGTCAACCGTTTCTCAAAATCAATTTCAGAACCCACATATACCTCAAGTATACCTAAGATATAC